GAATCGGTGTAAGAAGAATTGTCAAATTACTGCATTTTTGACATTGTAAAAACCTAATTAATCAATCAAGCATTCACCATACAGTTCAACAAAGTGATTGCAAGTTTCAATCCTCAATCGAGAGACATCCATAAGCTAAGCCAATTCAAGAACACAAGTCTAAAACAATTTGTCACATGTGATTCATTTCCAACAGATTTGTTCAGTAAAAAGCTAATATAATTCATGAATTCAGTAAAGGAAAAGCAATAGAAAGAGTAGAAGACTAAGATCCATAACCAATTCATGAAGAACAGTGAAGAAAATAGAACACATACATGGAGCGTGTGATGCAAGCAAGGAGAAAACCCATGGAGAATGCTTATGCGCGAGAGAGAAAAGCTTGAGAGAAAATTCGATTTTTGATTGATTATGAATTCTACAACTTCGACTACTTGTTTCTACATTAAGTTAATCTAATATAATCTTTAAATAATGTACAATTACGAGTTACAAGGCCAACTTGAGAGAGAGGTTGAAGAGTCGCGCTATCTTCGCTTTAGTGCAGTACATCATTCTTCAAACGCTTGCAGTTTTTTCAATACTTCTTCAAATTAAGAGGTTTCAGTCTCATTCGAAAGCTTGTTAAGTTAGATTTAAAACGCCACTGTTTTTATGATTTTTGGAGGTCTAGAAAATTTAGAATAATTAATTTACTGAAGCATGCCCAGTGGACCGACTCTGTGCGCGTAACCTCTCTTTAATAATTTATGTAAAATTAAATTTAGCTCCAAATTGTGTGGTTCTTGATCCTCTGGAAATCTGAATTTGTCTAGTTTTCAATTCTTCAAGAATCATGGTTTTAGGAGCTTTGTAGAAAAAATGATAAATAAAACAGTGGACCAATATCAGTACCCATATACAATAAAATATGGCTAATTTACTGTTTTTATGTAGAATTTTATGTTAAGGTTTCCAAAGGCCTAGTAATGCAAATTATAGTTAATTAAGCTTTATTAACACATTATAAACAATATCATAATATTATAAGCTACTTAAGATGTGCTAAAAATCAGTCACATCATTGCACAATGTAAAAATTGTCTTCCAAGGAGAAAGGTATTGCAAAACCTAAGATTCACCTTCTACAAGTCTTGGCTGCAATTGCAAAGCATATTGCAAAATCTCAATCCAGTTGCAACAACATGGTTGCTGGATTTAAGGTGTAGGGTTGCACAATGTTGTGTGTGGGCTATTATATGGAGATGGGTATGTTACTAATACTACATCTATAAATATATTATACCACACTCCTCCAAAAATAAACTCCACTTAGCCTCTCTTCTCTCTTTTTTCATTCCTTTTATCCTAGGTTTATTTACTCTTTTAAGAGTTTCTTACTAGTTTTTTAGTTTATCAAAAAATCTAAGAAGTTCCTATTGTATCATGGGAGACTTGTACAATACACCGCAGATAAGTTCTTAAGGGTAATGATTATACACGCCTCAAGAATCAATCTTAGGGACTTATGACTAATAGTATGGATACTAACAACAACTCTACACCGGAAAAGATAAATAATGTTTCTGGAACTTAAACTGTCGTTGTGAAACCTTTCCCAGACGTTTCAAAAATTGAAGTTTTCACTGGGCAAAACTTTCGACGCTGGCAAAAATGCATTTCTACTCTATTAAATATGTATGCCCAGATAAGTGAATACCTCTTATGACGCTAACTCTAAATTAAAGAAAAACAAAGGAGACTCAATCTCTCAACCTCAATATGCCCAGATAATTGGGAGCTTACTGCATTTAATGAGTTTTTCTATACCTGACATTGCTTATGTAGTAGGTAAACTGAGTAGGTACACTCAATGTCCTTCAGGAACATTGGGATGTACTTGCAAGGCTTATGAGATACTTAAGATATTAAATGGATTATGCCATTAAATATAGTGAATTTCTCGTTGTACTAAAAGGGTACAGTGATGCTAACTAAATCTCTGATTCAGATGATACAAAATCCACTAGTGGATATATATTCACACTTCGAGTTCACTCCGGGTTGGTGCGATTACATGGAGATCAGTCATGCAAACAATTATTGTAAGATCAACAATGGAATTTGAATTTATTGTTCTTGAAATGGTTGGTAGTGAAGCTAAGTGGTTGAAAAACTTTTTAGCAAAGATTCAATTAGGAATGAAACCAACCTCATTTGTGTCAATACATTACAATTGCAAATCGATAATAGGTATAGTTAAAAATAAGAACTACAATAGAAAGAACAGACATCTACAATTAAGACATAATTTAGTGAAATAGTTGTTAAAGAGTGGAACAATCTCCGTTGACTATGTGAAGTCATAATGGAATCTAGCAGATCCTCCGACGAAATCCTTAGGGAGAAACATGATTTAGAAACATCGAGGAGAATGTGACTCAAGTCACTTGCAAACAAACAAGTGATGGTAACCCAATCTTTAGGATTGAAGATCCCATGAATAAGGTTCATACAGGTAAAAACAAGTCACTTGTTAGTTCTGCTAGCACTAAAATTGATTAAAATCAATTATATTCATTTCATTGGTGTGTGTGAAAGTGCTAGATATTGCATAATTGAGAGGTTAAACTTTATAATTAAAATTTTATGTGGTGTACAAATTTTAGTCTAAACAAAGTTTTTAATAATTTCATGTCCCTTACGGGTGATGTATGATTTGCAGCATACACTTGATAAAATCAACCTATATGAGTGTCGAGTGAGACCGCTTGTATGAGATCTTTGCAAGATTTATAGAACAGTTATGAATATCAGACACGTGCATGACCTAATAAGCGCAACACAGCGATAATAACAAGAATTGTGAAGATGTGTTGTGATTGTTAAACCGTTAACACACTAAGTGTTTTGGTTCATATAGCTTGTTATACCAACTACACTTTTTGTTAATTTTTTAGTCTAAGACTGGATCATATAGTTTGTTATACCAACTCTAATCCATTATATCTTATATGAGACCCATGATTTTCTTTTTTTGTTATTTTATCTTTTTTTATTTATTTATTTTGAAATATGTGGGGGATTGTTGTAGAAGGAGAAAGGTATTGCAAAACCGACGATTCACCCTCCGCAAGTCTTGGTTGCAGTTGCAAAGCATACCTCCTTCACGCACGTCTTGGTTTAGTTGCAACAACATCCCTCCTCCATGCAAATCTTGGTTCAGTTGCAACAAGTGGTTGCTTGATTTCATGTGCAAGGTTGCACAACTTTGTGTGTAGGTTGTTATGTGGAGATTGATTTGTTACCCATATTACACCTATAAATAGACCACTTCACACTCTTCCAAAGACACACTTCACTCATTCTCTCTTCTCTTTTTTTTCGTTCTTTTTATCCTAGGTTTATTTATTTTTTTAAGAGTTTCTTATTAGCTTTTGAGTTCTTCGATAAATTCTTGTTATATCATAAAAAACTTGCGCAATATACCATAAATAAGTTCTTAAAGACAATAATTATGCATGCCTCAAGAATAAAATTATGATCATGTCTTTATCAGATTTTATAACAAAAACACAACCAAAACAAATATTAACGTGAATATGCATAAATGATATGTAATATATGGTGAAACAAATAGAAGGATAGATAAAGTAATTCCTCTCGTTATATCAAAGAAAAATGTTTATTTAGCCACCGTTTTTATAGAGTAAACCCATTAGACAGCTAAATATATTAATATAATAATATATGGAATATGTTTTTGATTGCATACCAAACTCGAAATGTTCTGTGACAAGAAATTTGGTGAAAAAGATATTCTAAATTTGCTTCTTTAGCCACATCCTAAGTTAACGATTTGGCATGTAAGTGTGAGTAGGGCAACTGGTTAATACACAGTCAACGTCGGTGGATAAGGTACAACAACACATTCATACTTAGACTCTATCATATCAAATCAACATCTATCTACCTTTGATCAAATCAACGCTTTACTTCTAAGATTTGTAAAGGCACATCAACAACACTGTAAACTCTCTGAAGGTCACTGCTCAACCTCATCATTGATTACAATACTCAACCTCAATTCAACACTCCCCATTGCTATTTGGTAGACTTTTGTGATGAGCAAGCACCCAATGATGACCGCACCCTCTAGGTAGCTCTAGTTTGGTAAGATCTTGTCCCAATCATTGCTTCGTCCTATGCATCACAACCACCAATTCACTTCTCCTTTCACTTTGTGCCTCACATTTTCTTTTATAATTAATGTCATTTGCTTCTTCTTTCTATGTTTAATCCAAATCACTGGAAATTATTGCGTAAAATGATTGTGATTTAGGCCTATTCAGTCATTGTTTTATGTTTTGTTATCTTCAAGGTTATTAAACTTTGATAATATGAAGTGTCTTGTCAAGTAATACAGATGTGTCTCCTCATTTATCACTTTTGTTCAAATAAAAAATTAACTCGAGTAATGTTAATGATTGTTAGGTCAATTAATCAAAAGTTGATTTAGCTGAATAAGGATACAAGTTTTGTAATTTAAAAAAAGGGGTAATGGAGAGAAGTTATTTCCTTAAAGTTCACTTGACTCAAAGGCGGATATCAATGGGAAATTGACTTGGTAAAGTACAACATTTGTGGCTAACTCTGCATGCTACAGTTCTAGTCTTGTACACTTGCAAGCTTGTTTAATTTGAATTCTTCAATGCTGTGGGGACATGAAGAAAAAATGTCACACTAGTGGCAGTAAGTGGAGAATATCACCTACCCACTTTCATTGTGTATGATAGTTGTTGTTTACCAACAATTTATTCAATACATTATACTGCATATTTGTGCTTCAATCTACAACCTGTTCTAACTAGATTTAGGATGGGATGCATGGAACCCATCATACATCAAATAGACCTAATCTGCTTGATTAATTTATCATCATAGTCAGTATACCTACTAAGTAAATCACAATTTCATGATTCTCAAATGGACTTGTTTTTCAACTACTGGTTTGTATTAAACTAGAGACTCGTATTTTGAGGCCAAGAGGGCCATAAGTGGATATAATCAAAGTCTAATTCGGATTCTGGTCTTGTCATGTCATCGAAATCAAATGCCTGAGTGTGGTTCATTTCTGGTTCAACTGCATAGTTCTTTGGTAGGAAATGATCCTTGTTTGACTCCTTTATCTCACCTACTTCTCCAAACTCATTCTCAAAATCATGGGACCACTTCCTGGCTTCAACATCTTCAACACTCTCCTCTTCAAGAATGATGTTTTGGATGGCTGGGAACTCACCTAATTGGACTTCATTTGATTGAAAAGATCCAAGGCTATCATCATCATCTAACAACTTCCAAAAATCATAATCTGGTTCCCATGGAATTTCAATCAGGTGGTTTGGTTTATCCACCTCTTCTAATACACTGCCAACATCATAAGGTCCCAGGTAGGATAATGGAGAAGCCAATTGTTGTTCTGGTTTGTGTGCAACTATGTGGCCTGAATTTACAATATTTGACTCAACAGAATATAATGAAACTGATAATGGAGAAGCCAATTGTTGTTCTGGTTTGTCTGCCATATTCTGGCTTGAGTTTACAATATTTGACTCATAAGAAGATAACGAAACTGACGACTCTTTTGGATCCTCAGCGATTCCAATTAGTTCCTTGGACACTTGTTTTTCTGAATCCTGCTCAATTTTATCTTCCATTGATAATTTCTCAGCTTGGTCATCAAATTCACTATTATCAGGTGTTGTGGTTTTTGGTGAATTTGGCTTATCATTTGAGAAAAATGACTCAGATGAAGAGGAAGAGGAGGAAGTTATTGTTGATTCTGGCTTGGATTCATCTGCACTTAATTCTGACTTTTTTTTAGGAGCCAACCTTTTCTTTAAGTGGGTGTTCCACACATTCTTGATCTCATTGTCTGTCCTTCCAGGCAAACGTGATGCAATCTTTGACCACCTTGAACCAATTTGTGTAGAAACCATAATTAGATAATATAGTTATGCCACAAATAAGAAAACAAGGGCCAAAATAACATTACAAAAAAATATATTTCTGGTTTGAGACATAAAAGACTAACTTGTTTCCCATGGCCCTGTGTAGCCTTATTATGGTTTCCTCTTCCTCTGGGGTAAAATTGCCTCTCTTTACATCAGGTCTTAGATAATTGATCCATCTCAAACGACAACTTTTTCCGCATCTCAGAAGCCCTTATAAAAACATGCAAATAATAAGTTTAAGAGAAAATTTTGATAACATCTACACTAATATTAACATAATCAAATATTAGTACTTTCCAATTATCTAACATCTTGGTTTAGAGAGCATGAAATTGCATACTCTTTAATCAAACCAATACTCCGGTATAATCAGAACTGCTTCCAAACACTAATAAAATTACATTTTATTGAATAAGACAGTAGTACTTGTTTATTTCCTTATTGAGTTTTACAGTTTTTAGTCTTGTGATTACTCTTGCCCATTTGTCTATTTTTAATTTAAACACACTTTTAATTTGCCTCTCCTATTTCAGAGACTAATTGAAATCAAGGAGCAAAGTGAAATCATTATAGACACCAAAACACCCAAACAGCATGAAGCAACAGTTTGGCTACTTTAAGCAAGGCAGGAAATTAGTCATAATCCATGGTAAGAAACATCAAATTTTGAAACGCAAGTGCCATTCTTGTAAGTACTTGAAATTAAAGGTTTTTTCTGTGATGATGGAATTTAATACCCTTATGTCAGAGTCTTTGTGTCCAATAACAATGGTAATTTTCCATTTATAGCAAACGATCCTGGTGATGGATGGGCCATATTAATGGTAGGTGGACATGCATTGTCAGAAATTAGTCATTTAAAATGTGTCATATTTTCATTGAAATTATAGGCAGAAGGAGGGCCCACAATTATAGATGAGATAAGTAACCAATTCTTCAAAGATCTTACTAACATGAGGGAAACCAAAAGTCACCAATTTCTGCCAAACTATTCGTTTTTTCTATTGTGGATTAATCATTTTATTTAATCTGTATTAACAGCAGGTAGCAGAGAATTGGCGTTGAATGAGACAAGGAGTGGATGAAACAATGCAAATGCAGAAACTGGATTTATCACAAACTGCAGGCAACCATAGATGCAATAGTGCAGATGCAAAATTTCCATGTTCATGCACTGATGAAAATTAAAGAATGCAAGATGAAAACTTTAATTCTTATAGAGTTCACAGAATATGAGATCAAACACAGAAGAGAGGTTGAAACTTGAAACTAAAGTTTCTTATTAAAAGATTACCAAAATTACTAAGACAAAGCATCTTATAAATCATACACATCCACGCATGCAAACATTTAAGAAGGATGTATGTAATTTACCTGCTTGTTTTGGGAGAGCGCGCCAGTTTTCATGGCCATATTTCTGGATGAAGGCTATGAGTTTAAGGTCTTCTGCAGGGCTCCAAGGACCTCTCTTCACTTGGGTCTTATCACAGCATGGTGCTCTTCCTTTTCCCATGGTAATCTCTTATCTCAATTTTCACAACCCTTTAGGTCCTATTTGTTATTATATATATGCACTCTTCCACTGTTATGCTATCTAGTTTTTCCTCTCTCTCATATACTATCACTTCAATTATGCATCACTAATGTGTCTCCCTCTGCCTATATATACTAGCTGGTGCAGAAAGTGAATGCTCTCAATGAAATGAACCCACAAGGGTCATGCCACAAGTTAATATGCTGAGATGCTATGCAATAAATAGACTGAAATCTAAAGAGTATTTTAAGATAATATCTGTCATGCATGTATTGTAACACATAAATTTCTGTTGCCCATTTAAAATGTTTGTAATTTTTTAAAATGTTTTGTATTTATTCAAATGATTTAGGATTTGTGATTTGTCTGTTTTTGTTTTTTTGGAGGTTTAGAGCCACCAACCTTCTGAAAATTGATATCACTTCCCTTCTTTATGATGTCAACATTCTCCTAAGTTCCAACAGACCCAACTAAAATACGGTTGACCTTTAAATATGTGAAAATAAATCTTAAATATGGCTGATTATTTCTACAAAGTTAATGGTAGTGGTTAAGTAAAGTTCTCTCTGAATTTATGACTCCAAGGTTTCGACTAATGTCATCATAGGAAAAGTTTATCTGAGATTATAGAGTAATTCACTTCTACTAATTATCAGTGTTGGACAATAAATTACCAACTATGCAGATATTTAGTAGTGTGGTTTATATAAAAATTGTTTGCTGAAAGCAGTGAAGCATGCATATTAAAATGATGCAACATTTTGGTGTCTATCTATGTGGAAAATTTAATGCTTAGCACGAATTCGATGCATATTCTTTCTTTCTCTGTTTTTTCCGTAAGTTCAAAATTGGCATTAATTATCAATGCAATTTTTCTAGATTTGTTTTAAACTTCTCTTTGTCCCTCTTTTCCATATTCCTGTTTTTTCATTTTTTTGCCACTATTTTCTACTTTTATCTTTTGGTAAGGAAAATCCTAAGATATCTTCCCAATTAATAGTAAATATTGATGGAGAAATATCATAATCTTGTAATGACTGATTTTCTTCCTAAAGTTGTAATTTTGGGGGAGACAAAATTTAATTTTAGATTTATATTAATTTGTACTTCCCATATGTGGACTATTTTTCTTTCATCTCCCCAACATGCTAATTCTACATATCATAATTGCTGTGATTAATAAATATCAAACTTAAAATAAATAGTTTAATGGAATAAGATAATAACCTTAAGTATTATGGATGTTTTTAATGAGTTTAATATTTATTAATTACTTTTATAATTTTTCTTTGGACATATTTTGACTAAATGAAATTAAACAAATTGGTTGAGTTTTTTTGTTAAATTGATTTTAATAAAAAAATTATAAAAAATATGATATAATATATTTTAATTTTTTTATCCCATATTAATTATGTTAATTTTAAATAATAATTATTTTGTTGTGTTTGCATTTTATTTTAATATGTATCCAACTTATATTCACTAATATATTTTATATTTATAATTTTCATTGTAATTTATAGTAAATATAATATTTTTTTATAAAAAAATATTATTACTAATAAATTTATTATATATTTATTATATTATAAAAATATTATTTTATTAAATTCAATTGTACTCAATTAATTTTTAAACCTAAATTCATGTTTTTATCTATTCAATGACAAGTTTTAGAAACATATTTTTTTTTAGGATTTATCAAGTTAAAATTAAGTAATTTAAATAAATAAAATATTAATTAAAAATTAAAAGTAAAGATTGTAATAAAAAGAATGTATTCATCTTCTCATCGATGATTATTCATTTCTTTTTTCTCTTTAAATTAAATATCTTTTTTAGAGAATTTAAATTTAAGATATTAATATAACTCTATATTGAAGTATGAAGACTATCATGTTATAATGTTAGTCCAAGTTTCAAAGTATCTTAAAAAAAAGTGCTTCCTTTTCTTCTTCCTTTGACTGAGTTGTAAAACATAGTTTTATTAATTTGGTAGTAGCTGTAACTTTATTTGTGGGTCATAGTTTTCTATTGAAAAAATCTTTTAATTAAATAAGACTAAAACTACACATTTGATTAATCTAATTAATAAATAATAAAAAATAAGCTCAGTAAAAAATAAAATTAATAGTTGTTAAAAAGATAAGAGGGAAACAACTAATGAGATCTTCTTTCTAATGAATAACTTAGGGAATTTTAATAAAGTTATTTTATGGGATTAAAAAAGTAGAAATATTTTTAATAAGAGTGATTATATATTGACAAAAAAGTTAATTCAAATAAAATAATGTAATAATAATATGTATTATTATATTATTATTGAATATTTTTTACCCACACAATTGTTAATTTATAATTTGTTTAGCAAGACATGTATCCAATATAATCACATCATAAGTCATCTTGACCAAACGTCTAATTTAATCTTATATTATGTATTTATTTTTGAATATGAAAATTTCAATTAAAAAAATTATGATTTACATATTTAAATGTAAAAATAATATGAAATTTGAGACTAATAATCACTTTTATATTTCTACGAACTTATAGGACAAAATACAAATAAATTCAGATATAATTGAATATTTAATTTTTTATATATATTAAGGATATAGATGATTATAAAAAAAATTAATTACATTTTTATTCTTTAAATATTATTGTAATAAACAATTAAAACATTATATTAAAAGTATTAAAATAATAAATAAAATTATTAAATTTATTTTTCTTACATTTTTTATGTTTCTCTTAATTAAATATATATTAATTTTTTACAAATTTGTTTTAAACAATCAAGTCGAACTCATATAACTATAGAATTTTTTTTTACTATAATTTAACGTGACTAAATCACAATAATTACCATTATTATTCATATTTGATAACATAAATAACTTGAAAAACTAAAATAATTTCGATCTATTTTTAGTTAGTCTAAATTTTATATATATATATATATATATATATATATATATATATATATATATATATATATATATATATATATATATATATATAACATACAACATAAATCATTACACAAGAAAATAAGTTTAAAATAAAATGATAAACATCAAGTTTTTTGGAATAATCAATCAATACAATTATTTGAAGTAAATCGTATATAAAATATAAATGATATTCCTATTATAATAATATAAAAAAATTGTATTTAGATGGGTGATATGCTCATGATACTTAATAAGAATATAAGATAATACTTAAATAATGTTATGTTAAGATTATAGCACATATTTATTATATTAAAACTCCATGGTTATACTTTTTAAAATGTAATATTTACACTTTAAATTAACATAATATAATATTTATGCTAGGTAAAATTTGATGTTATGACTGAATAAGTTCATTGTAGTGAAGCTTGATGATTATACTTATAAAACATGTTGTTTAACATTTAAATTTATATGGTGTAGGATGTGATATTTATATTATAATACAATTGATTTAAAAATTAATTAGTTATGTAAAATAAGATAAGTAGAAAATGTGTAAATATTTTTTATTTTATCTGTATGATTAATAACCTTATATATTTATAGTCTTGTCTGCGTAAAGGTAAGACTTTATTAATTTTCTCATAGTTATTTAAATGTATAATAATTAATTATAAAATAATAATATAATATTTCAAATACGATAATATAATAACCCTCTATGTTTTTTTTATTTAAATTAATTACCGTAGTGTATTTAATTGAAACCTTCGAGATTAAGCCACCATATTATATAATATTATTTATTGGTGATGTCATGATGATATATTACCGCATTACTAAAACCTTCAACCCTAAATGACCCCGATTACGTATTGCAAACATAAAGTAATTAATAACTAATTAATTAATTAGTGCCTTGGTCAGAAACATTTTCCTGATGTAATTAATAATTATTAATTAGTGCCTTGGTTAGAAACATTTTCCTTCTTTATTTTCTTCGGATGCCTTAAATTAGACCTAATATAATTTCTAATTGGGTTAAATATTTTTTTATTATTATTTTTCTTCTTTGTTTTACTAATTTTACTAACATTATATCACAACACAAATATGAGTTACTCAGACTAATCATTTGAACAAATAATAATAATAATAAGAGAAATGAAAAATAGTGATTTTCATAGAAAATTTAAAACAAAGATTTTTTTTTCAGAAAATAAATTCAAAATTATTTATTCTTCATGAACATCTTTTTCAGTTTCAGAACATTAGTTTACATTAGTTTTTTTTTTTGTTGAATTTTGAATTGTTATAATTTGACTTTCTCGTATAAAAGCAATAAATTAACAAATAAAACGTGGTTTCGAAATTAGAAATAAATGAAGTACATGGAAATTTTTTTTGATATAATGCTCTATTTTTTCTGCTTCTTGATTAGATACCACTAAATCACTTTCTTAATATATATATATATATATATATATATATATATATATATATATATATATGACATGACAATTGAATACATAAAATTATATAATTAAGTTGCCACTAAAAAGAAGGTTTTGTGTAATCTTTTCTCATGCATTTTGAAAATTTGGGCAAAGAGAGATATTAATGGAAGGAAAAATTGTAGGAATCTGTCTATTCTCAAATTTCGTATGTTGGTGAGTGAAGCCAAACTCTATGGCTGCTTTTGACTCAAATATAAAATAAAAATATGTTTACAAAAACAGTCTTAATAATATATATAATGAAATCATATAAAAAATAATTCTCATATATATTCAACTCATTCACACTCACATATTATGAATATAATAAAACAACTAAAAAATAGCTAAATTTTATAAAACATAATAAAGCAAAAATATTTATTAACCTCCTACCATTATTTTGGAATAAAACTCATGTACAACACATTTTTATACGTTTTCTTTTTCTTTAATCGAACCTACATTTAAGATCTTAAAAAAAATTATTAATATATATATATATATATATATATATATATATATATATATACAAAAATGAAAACTAAAACAATTACATATTTTTTAAAATAGAAGATTTTTTTAAAATAATGGACCAAATTTACATAATAATCAAAATATATTTAATTGGCTCGATCTATTCAGTAAATCTTGATTGAAGCTACTTGATTAATATGAATTTCACGATCATATTAGAAATAACCATTAATAAGTTCATAAAACTTAACGTATATAAGATATGTATTTTTCTTTTAATATAATTTCTTTTTATACTCAAAGTGGTAGTATCAAAATTTATATTCTATCTTTCTTATTTAAGAAATATACCAGTTGTATGAAGCAATAATATTCACGATATTTTTAGTCTAAATGTGCATGCGTGAGAAACTCTAACTTTTGCTTTTGGGGCTATAGTAAAAGGACAAAAGGAGAATGACCCTTTTCTTCTTTTATAAATAGAGAAAGTATCGTATAAAAACACGTTTATTATTATATAATAATAGTAATAAAAAAAGAAGGTGAAGTTTTTTTCTAGAAACGACTCAATCGGTAAGAGAATTATATTTATTATTATAATATTTATAAAAAATACTTCGGTACTTGAGTCAATGAGTACGTGATATTCGTTATTATATGAATAATCACCTATTTTAAAATTCACTCATTATATATTAAAATAGGATTTTTTTTTTATATAAATTTTGGGTCATGTATAGATATGATACATAATTTAAATGTATTAGGGTCATTATTTATTAAGCCAAATAATAAAGTGATCTTACTAAATTAAAATTTTTGCTAAAGGTATATGTCATGAAAATAAAATTGTATAGAGACTATTGATCAATTTCTAATTTGATGAGAGGCCAAATTGGAAATACAAAAACTTAAGTAATTAACCTAATTCTGGTTATTTAAAGGGTCATGGTCCCCTTTTGGAAGCACATACACAGAACGTAGTCTCAGTTCCCGTTCCTTTCTTTCTATCCCCGTCAAGAGAGAAAATTAAGAGGAAAATACAAGGTGGAAGACCATAAGATCAATATAGTATTCTATAAAGACATCATCATCATTATGGCTAATTCAGGTATGCTCTCGCATTTGGTTTACAACATGTTTATCAGTATGGGATTACGTTTATGTTTTATAGTTAGAATCAAAATCAGGATTATAATTATTATTAATTTTCCAACAATTGGTATCAGAGTCGCTCATACTTGATTCATGTCTGTTTTATTTTTAGAACCCTAATTATGAAAATTAGGATTAATTTTGTTTTAAACAATTCAAATTATCCAATTTTCGTGAACCCTAAAATTTAAATTTGGGGGTAATTCCCCAATCTGATTCTACTCACTAATGGAACAGTGGAGGAAGCTATGGATTCTTCTTCTTCGTTTTTTCCTTTTGTTTCGGTTTAAGTTTCAAGTTTTACTGAGAAAGAAATAGTGTTTCAAATTTCAATCTTTCTTGTATTAGGTTCTCTGTTCTCTTTGAATCTTTTGTTTTTATTTAATTTTCTGGGTTTTGTTTTCGTTTTCTTTTCATGGTGGATATGGATGGGTTTGGAATTGGGGGTGGTGTTTGGGGAGTTCCCAACACAGAGGATCTTAGGCAACTGGTGAATGTTTCCTCAGGTGTGACTGTTATTATTTTATTACCTTTATTCTTTGGGGATTTAAGGGAAGTTGATGTTAAATTCCCTGTTTAGGGTTTGAGTGATTACTATTTAATCCCCTTTTAGGGTTTAGAGTAGTGTGTTAAAGAGGGTCATAACTATCTCTATTTCATCCCTAGTGTGATTTTAGGGAGATGTTCATCCTTTATGTGTTGGTGGAAAAGGAGGTGTTTCATCCTTTGATTTGTTCAAAGGAGGTGTTCATCCCTAATGAGATTCTAGGGAGGTGTTCATCCTTAGTGAAATTCTAATGAGGTGATTATCTTTTGAATTAGTTTGCAAATATTAAATATTTGGTTTTTTTATATAAATAAAATATTCAATTTTTTGGTAGTTTAATATTTTTTTGTGAACAAATTGAATCAAGAAGTCACCAAAGTAACCTCTCTTGAATTGGGCAGTTCATGAAAAATGTTGAATGTTAGTGTTTGTGTATATTCATGCGAGTATTAGTCGGTCCAAAGAAAGATTAATATTTGGTCGAATTGCATATACACTTGTAATGATAAACATGTGATAATTATAAAGATTTGCTTTGTCGATGATAAATCAATCCAAAGACTGGTTTGTTGTTGAACGTGTTTTATTATCAATGTTTGATTATTACAACAAGATATCTCTAGCAGTTAATATTATTGTCCAAAGACTTGATATTGATGGTGCATTGGGTGTCTTAAGATGGGTTCAACCATTATTTGAATATATATTTATAATTATTTATTTTTTATATAATATGGTCATAATTAGTTTATTTCTCGTGTTCTAAATTCAGCTACAATTGTTTCTGTATGTACCAATTTAAATTTTGTTCCAATCCTCAAAAGTATGTTTCTTACTTTGGTCTGTTCTGAAGTCAATTTAGCGTCAGTACCTAGTAACACTTGGTGGATAGACTCAGGTGCAACTACTAATATCAGTGTTTCTATGAAGGGTTGCCTAAGCTACCGGAAATCAATTGATTCTTAAAAAAATGGATATATGTTGGAGATGGAAAATCGGTAGAGGTGGAAGCTATAGGGCATTTTAAATTATTATTGAGTACTGGTTTTTATTTGGATTTGAAAGACACTTTTGTTGTGTCGTCATTAGACGGAATTTGGTTTCAGTTTCTTATTTGGACAAATTAGGTTATTTGTATTCATTTGGAAACAATAAATTCAGTTTGTCTTTTAATTCAAATATTGCTGGAACTGGTTCACTTTTACCTTATGATAATCTGTATTTACCTGATACTGTGACAACCTATAATGAAACCTTTAATACAGAATCACAGGGTACTAAACGTAAAATTGACGATACTCACTTAGGAGCATTATGGCACAGGCGCTTAGGTCACATCTCTAAAAATAGAGTTGAACAACTTGTGTCAAATGGAATCTAAGAGTCAATTGACTTCACAAACTTTGATGTTTGTGTTGAATGCATTAAGGGCAAACAGACCAGAGCGAAAAGATTAGGTGCATATAGAGTTATAGACGTCTTAGAGTTAATACATACGGACATTTGTGGGTCATTTCCTACACCTTCATGGAATGGTCAATAATACTTTATATCATTCATAGACGATTACTCACGATATGCATACTTATTTCTTATACATAAATCACAATCTCTGGACGTGTTCAAAACATTTAAAGCTGAAGTTGAAAATCAACTCAACAAAAGAATTAAGTCTGTCAGGTCTAATCGTGGTGGTGAGTACTATGGCAGATTTGACGAGTCAGGTGAACAGC